AATTGAAAATTGATCAACAAATATATCTTAGGATAAAAGAATATAAGTATCCAGACATTTGGAGAAAACTGCATCTTTTTATGCTTATACAGTGTTTTAGTTCTTCTATTTACTTCAGTTGTTATATAATACATAGTGTAAAATGCTTGTGTTATCATTGCTAGACATCACAGATCATGTCTAATTTCATATCATGCTAATAAGCATTGGTATCTAATGCTAGATTAAAGGAATTCGATTTCTCTGAAGAAAAATTCTTTTATGGGGTGCAACTGTTAACTTTTTAAAAGGCCGTTTCTAAGACTTCAGAGAACCTTGAATCATATTGAGATGCATAAAATGAAAATCGTTGCACGAAAAGATCTCAATTTTAAGCTTCATTTTGAGACTTTTTAAATAAAATAATAAATTTAAGAGTTATCCTACCTGGCTGAGGATCGGATATCCTTAAGTCGAATGTTGACTGACGTCTATCATACAAATTGTTAGGACAGTATTTTAGACTGATTTGTCTACGGATTTTTCCGTTTACTCGATCATGACAAGGAGCACACGGCGGGGTCAACAGGGGAGGCTTACTTATCTATGCCACCTGATCCCACCTCTGTTTTCAGAGTTGGTTCTGCTCATAAATTGAATTATTTAAATGTACTTTTTAGAATGATTACTGTTCGTTTTCTTCACATTTTATTTTTATATCAGGACACATTATCATAAAATGTAAAACTGAAAAGAGTATATGAAGTCCATGTGCTGCTTTTGTCTTCCTTTATTATATGTACAAGCAAATTTTATGGATCTACATTCCTATCAGAAATGTCTAATTTTGTTTCGTTTGTTAGCTACACAAAGGTTTAAAGGAGCTTCTGTCATCGAAGTTTGTCTGTCTTCTAACTTTTCACATTTTTAATTTTCGAAAACCACCTAACCAATATCAACCAAACCGAGCACAACCAACCTTGGGTGAATAGGACCGAAGTATTTTCAATGAAGGGCCGCATCTTTGTCAAGGAGATATAAGTAAGAAATGAATACAGAGTAGGATCATTTAATATTTTTTAATGAACTAAAGAGCCAGTAAAGATAAAACTTCATAACGGGAAACTTCCCAATTGAATGTAGATACAAATTGGTTCAAATAATTTCCCTTGATGCCCGGGGGGGGGGGGGGGGTAAGTATTATACAGGAATCAAGAGAGTCGCTCAAGCGGCGCAGAGGTTACAGCGTTTGCTCTAGAGTCGCGGAGTAAGGAGTTGATCCTTACGTCGCGGGTTCGAATCCCACTGCGGGACGTGGAGACCGGTCCTTCAGATGAGACCGTATAAACCGATGTCCCGTGTCGCAGTAGGTGCTGGCACGAAAAAGATCCTTCACTGCTCAATGGTTCCCGCGTATGAGTGCCGCGTATATCTCCACGATACCGTTTCCTCAAGTAACTGTTGGCTGCAAAAAATATAGATTAGAATCAGATACATGTATCACCTATAATCAAAAATATATTTGACTTAATGAATATATATTTTGTTTGTTTATTGTTTAACGTCCCTCTCGAGAATTTTTCACTCATATGGAGACGCCACCAATTGCCGGTGGAGGGCTGCAAATTTTGACCTATACTCATGGCCATTGAGCAGTGAGGGACCTTTTTCGTGCCAGCACCTACTGCAACACGGGATCTCGGTTAATACGTTCTCATCGAAGGACCGGTCTCCACGTCCCACAGTGGGATTCGAACCCGCAACGTAAGGATCAACTCCTTTCTCCGCGACTCAAGAGCAAACGCTCTAATCACTGCGCCACGCGGGCGACGCCATTGAAATGAACTGAGATGAAATCTATGGACTTCTCGTTCCTGGTGCAACAAAATTTTTAGGATCCTTTAGCCATTCTCATTCATTCGGATTGATTCAGGTGCCCCGTAAATGTACACCAAATAATATGTACCTTTCCTACCTTTCCAATGAAATCTTTAACCAAAGAAAGATCTGCTATTTGTGGCAGGTGCTCAAAGAATTCATCAAACCCCAAGGCTACCTGGGGGGGGGGGGCGGGGGGGGGGGGCAGAGGCAGCTTTACTACTAGTATACCAGTGCTTCAAAGTCGCCCGCGTGGGGCAGTGGTTAGAGCGTTTGCTCTAGAGTCGCGGTGTAAGGAGTTGATCCTTAGGTCGCGGATTCGAATCCACTGCGGGACGTGGACACCGGTTCTTCAGATGAGACCGCGTATAAACCGAGGTCCCGTGCCGCAGTAGCTGCTGGCAAGAAAAAGGTCCCTCACTGCTCAATGGCCCTGAGTGCCGAGTATAGATCAAAATTTGCAGCCCTCCACCGGCAATTGGTGGCGTCTCCATATGAGTGAAAAATTCTTGAGAGGGACGTTGAAAAAAAAAATTAAACCAGTGCTTCAGTTTAGTTAATGACTCAAAAGTCGTGTTTTCTGTCTTTGGTGGTTCTTCTTATTGATGTAAGGGTTATTCTTACATCAAAATCTGCCCCCCCCCCCCTGATTTTTTCTGTTCTGCTGACTGCACACAGTCTTTCCTTGTATCGAGTTCTAAACTTTTGGAAGAGTGGAAATGTTAATATAAGTTTTACAAGGTCAGTCTCAATGAACGCTGTTCTCGCACATTACTGTACCATTCTTGGAGTCAGGACGTTTCATCTTCCTACAGTACTAAAAATTTCCTTGCTTCGTTGTATTGTTGGGCATGTATTGTACAGTTCTATTTTTCAGGCTCTGTATTGCTACTTGCATCCAAAAGAGTATGCAGATTTTGATACTGGCTGGAGTTGCTAAGCTTGAGCAGTTTGGTAACTGGTCAGTGTGCAGTGAATTCTTTCACGGTTGGAGACAATCTGTGGTGTTCTCCCCGTCAATCGAAAACTGGTTTATTACAGGTGACCGCTGTCACCGCGTTGTTTCCTTGTTTGGTTGCTGTGTGCTGTATATTGATCAACTTCTCGACCATGTCATATTATATGAGGGACAGTAAATGTAACTCGCTTAGTTTGGTGTCAGAGTTGAACAAAGTTGAATTGAAAACTGACGAATTGGCTGATTTTATCACCTGAAGGCACAGACACTTGTTTCTGTAATAAAAATTTACCCCACAGAAACCACTGTCTGTCTACGGTTCTCCTCGTTAAAACATTTCTGTCAGGGTTTCTTCCCTTAGCCTTTCACCTGGACCTACAAGTCAGATTTAACCTGCGGCAAAGAGTTTTAGAGGGCACAAGGCCCGACCAGGGCATGTCCACTTTCCAACATGCTACACCCCTGTCCCTGGGCGTAGCCGTTGTTTCATTTGTTATGTTTATTCTAAATATATTCCAAGATGATGATCAGGGAGAAATAAGGACAGAGATTCAGATTGTCCTTTCTTTTTGTAGAATATTTCTTTTTGAAATAAAAAAAAGTGACAGACTACATGTAGGCACGAGAAATCTATTATACAATTATGAATAATAATTTTTAGATGAGCAGCTGTTCCTTTGGTTATCAAGTAGGATTAAATGTTGTGAAATACCTCTTGTATTTGTATGGCTTATGTTTTTTCCTCTTTGTGTGTGTGTTTTTTTATGTTCTTTCTTTGTTTTTTTTTTTTTTGTCTTTTCTTTTTTTATTCTTACTTACTTACTTTCTTTTTTTTCCCTAAGGACGACATCTGAGAGTGCACTAATGTCGCGCTTATGTCACTTACGTATGTTCTTAAAAGCGATTCACGTCATATAGTGCAAGTTCAGCGGCGGATCCAGGAATTTCATAACGGGGGGGGGGGGGGCGCAGTAGAAGGCAGGGGGGTCTGGGGGTTGCATTGAAGCCCCCAGCGGGTCCAGAGCAAAGCCCTGGTGGGGGTCTGACGAATTCTAACAAGTAAGAGGTGTTTTTTCACTTGATTTTAAGATAGTACAAACAAATTTTCCAAAAAAAAAAAAATTCAAACGGGGGGGGGGGAGGGGGGGTGCGCGCCGGCGCTGGATCCGCCTTTGAAGTTTATAACGTTATTTAATACAAGAAAATTAAAAGAAATTTAATAAAATATCGAAACTTATGGTCAAACATCTTTGTTAATTATTCATATGCTTTCAAAAGTGAGGTTAAATTTGATTTTTTTTTTCTCTCTCTCTCGTTTTTAGCCACCCCCCACCCCCCACCCCCCCCACACAAAATCCAATCAAACAAACAAAAACAAACAAACAAACAAAAAAAAAAAACAAAGCAAAACAAAAACAAACAAATCCAGAGTAAATAAAACTGTATCAAATTAATAATTGCTATTTTTATGATGTCTCTCAAATTCAATCACTTACAAATGATCGATATCAAAGTGTTATTTGGAATATTGGAATCATTTGTAGCCTACCTGAACTTTACAAAAAAAAAAATATTCTTATTAAACAGTATTTATGATCTCATCAGATTTTGTAGCGTATCAAGTATATACTAAAATTATGAGTAAAGAATATTTTTGCGCGAAGTTATTTGTACTCGGTATATAGGACTTCTAAGCAAGGGAAAAGTGAATATCTGTGCAAATATTTTTGATGATTTCGATATCAATTTAAGCTTACTTCAGAATTATTCTGAAAATGAGAAAAATGAAGGTGCAATAATAATAATAAAATAATTAAAATAATAATAAAAAAGATAATATAAAAACAAAAATAAATAAATTAAAAAAAAGAAGAAGAAGAAATTAATATACATATACTCCGTTTATAAACTGCATAGCCATTCATGAATCATATTTAAAGAACCTTTAATTAATATCTAAAACGGATACTTTAAAAATAATCTCCTAAATATGAGATTACGTTTATGGCAATGTTTCATTTAAATTCCTTAACTACTAAAAGTACGAAACATGCCATATACCTTCTAAAAATAGTTCGAAATTTATTTTTACTACTGCTAATACACAACATGTGTATAGTTGCATGTTGTGACCTAATTTTAACGCACTGCAGACAGAAGGCTTGACAGCCGTCTTACAAATGCGCAGACAGACGAGTGCGCACGAAGCCACAAGTTATGGCGCTACAGTGAGACAATGTCTGCTAATGTGCGGCGATTGTTTGGATTGATAATGCACCTAAATGTAGGACCTGTAATATATGCACCTCCATGACCTAGGAAGGTTTCTATCTTCCCCGACATGCTTTTTTGTTTTGGCCTGTTTGGTAGGTAGCACTTTCTCAGTAACTTCCGGTCAATTTCAGACTGACTTCCTGTAGACTTTTTTTTTTACAAAAAAAATTTCATTATATGTTTAAAATTTCATTTCTTCTCTTTGCAGCTCTCTTGTTATATAATACAGTTGTAGCTAACGGTAAGTGGCGATTTCCTGTACTCTTTGTTCAACCATTCTTAAGTAAAGTTCAAAAGTTTGTTTATATTCAGTATCGAGACGGTAAACAAAACCCAGACAGTCTGAGGTTTGTCTGTGTCACTCAATGTCAACCGACAGAAAAGGAGTGCAGGCAGATGTAACTAAAAATGGTGAAGTATCTTCCAGATATGTACGAGATTGTTACAATTGAATGGAATTATACTTTTTAAAAAAGCAAGTAGGTTGGAACGTGTGGTATTTTATGGAAGGTCAGCGTGACATAACCCAATCGTCTGCTATGGGTCCTATGGTCAGACTTTAAACAGGCAAGTCGTCTGTCGTGATTAAAGGGACGTCTGGTTTGAAACTGGACATCGTATTCAAATATATGATATGGACATTGATGATTCTATTGGTGGAAAAGATATACATCTTGATTTAGAATATTTTTTAGACTTGCCTATGTTTCAGTATGATAATTTTTATATGGCTGCAGATTTTCTTTCAAAAGTTGCAGAAACACTTTATATCAGTTTTCTAAGATGCTTTCTGTCTCAACAGAGATTTGCATAGGAAACATTATTATTTAAAAAAAAAGTATGAATAAGGTCTGTTCAAGTGCACTGTGAACATGTCTGAAGCATTTTGCAAGTCAAAATTGTTTCATATTATGAATTTAAAAGTTTGGCAAATACTTTAATTAATCAGTAATTTGATTGTAAATTATAAATACAGTGTTTCTTATAAGAACCAACCACAAGCCAAATTAACTGCTTCAACAGATAGTCTACATATATGACATATTTTTCCTTCAAGTTATTTCCCCTGACTGCCATCTTGGAGGTCAAACTGGTGAATTTTCCTCTTTGAGCAACCAATTTTAAACGTATGACAGAAATATAAGGGCAAAAATCTTTAAAATATTAAAATTATGAGTTAAAGGAAACTTTTGCTAACATGTATATTTGTAAGAAAACTGTGTCATCTTCACCCCATTGCCTAGAATGACAATTAAGTTTAAATTGGTTGAATAATAAAAGAATCTGGGCTTGTTGACCTCCAATATGGCAACCAACGGGAAATAATTCTTGCTAAAATCATGTCTATCAAAAACTATCTATTGATAAAAATAAATGCTGGTTACAATATCAAAAGTTGAAAAAAAAATAGCATAGCAACATCCAGATATGCCACTAATTAACTCTAAACATTTAATAACATTAAATGACTTCATAAAACATGACTTGATAAATTTTTTCGGATCCCAATGGTTTAATTTTAAAATAATTTATAGTTTTGTAATATTTAAGCATTGTCATTAATGCTTTCCACATAAGGTGTAAAAAAAAAAAAAAAAAAAAAAAAAAAAAAAAAAATAGAATTTTGCATATTTTTGTAGGTCAAGATTATGGATTAATTTTATTAGGAGATGCTTCCTAGCAAATGATGTTATTAAGGTAAATATTAGGGTTCAAAGGACAAGTTTCAAAAAATTAATTTTTGAGTTTGAATAAGATTCATCCAGGGACAGAACAAAGAAATCTAGAATTGTTTTTGATGTTTTGGTGCTTTTATATTTTTTTTCATGTTTGTAAAGGTAAAGGAGACAAGATACAAAAGAAAGACTCAAAAGTTGCTTTTGATTGAGGCTAAGAAAAATGTGTGTGTTTCTGCCTTTCTGGCAACCCAACTGACCCTAATTTTACCCACCAACCCTACTTTTATTCTGAATCTGGATTTTGAACTGTAATTTTGTTCATTAGTACAGTTTTCTCGTACTGCAGTCAATAAAATGAATTAATGTCTCAGACACCATAAAAACGTGTCTATCTATCTTACATACTAATAGTAATAAATTGGAAATGTTTCATTTTTTTTTTTTAAAATGAATCAAAGATCAGTTAGAATGTAAAAATAAGAAAGACCTTTCTTTTTTTTTTTTTTTTTTTTTCTTTTTTGTTTTATGATGATGATCAAACAATTTGCTCACAAGAAAATTTAAGCATAGATGTATTTGGTGTATATGCAGATTATCATGTGAGCGAACTGTTTCATTACACCATAAAACTAAAAACTAGACAGTTATTCCTTAAATATACTGAGTAATCAACCCATATATAACTGTAAGATATTCAATTTCATTGCATCTGAGGCTATTAGGATCTTTATTTGGTATGGCTTTTGTTTTCTAACCAAATTTCATATACATACTCTTTAAGTTACTTGTATATTTTTATAATTAATTGGAAAATGTGTCTGCCATTGAGCAGTATTAAAAAAAAAATACAGAAAAGAATTGTTTCCTTAATCTTGATAACCAACTTTAATAACTGAAGGCACTGAATAGGAAGATTTGTCTGAATATTCTTTTTTTTTTTTTTTCTATTTCAATTTGAGATTTTTGTAGACCCCATAATATACATGATGTAATACATATACAGAGCAGGATAAGGCATTCAGATTTTTTATTTATAACAACAAAAAGTAGTAGAAGAGAACATTTTTTAAAATCATTTCTTTAAATTAAATTTATTTTACAAAGGATTGCAGTAACTAGCATAAAACAGAAAGGACTGAACCAACAAGCAAGCCAAATTCAGCTTTAACCTGTCTGTCATATTTTTGATGCTTTTGTTATGTTGTGTTTCAATTTTCAAGTATGTGAAAATAGCATACATATATTTTTATGACCTTGTACCTGCACTTAAAAAAGCTAATGCAATGTATGTAATATCATAAAGAAGATATATTGACACAGTGCCTTTGGTACATAAGATATTCAAAAGGTTTGATTCATTAGACTTTTGATAACATCATTATGATAAATATAGCTTTAAATATAAAATATCTTAGTGCTTCAATCACTGTCTGGGTCGGTAGATACAGAACTAGGTCAAATCACCTGTGTTATACATGTATCAATCAAGTGTAAAATTAGGTCAGAGGTCGGCTGGGCCAAAGATTAAATGATCATGGACGATTTATGTGTAATGATGTAATTATGTTGAGACTGGTGCTCACAAATGCAGATCAGAAATGAAGCTGACTGAAGTCTAGTAAATTGCATCTACCGGGTATGCTGAATTATTATACCTGTTTTTGAGTCACATGAAAAAGTGCCACATGAGTGCATTTATCCTGGTCATTGAACACTTTGCACTGAATTGAATCTAGCTTGCTCTGACAAGACATTTAGTATGTTTAAGTATTATAAATCTTTTAAAGCATTGGTGCTTATGTATTCAAAGTTTTATTTGATTTATAATTATTTGTGTAAAATATTCTTTTGTAGTAATGTAAAACCAGCATTTTAATTGTCTGTTTGTGAAAATGAGCTGTAAGAATTCAAGCCTATGTTTCATTTTGGACATATTATCATAATACACTCACATTGCACATGCAGATTAGCTTTTATAGATATATATCATGTAAAAAAGTTATAGAAGCATTCTGCAAAAATAGGTGTATTTTTCAGACTTGGTATATTTTTAAAGCACTTCATGAACCAAGTGAATTGCTAATATGTGTTCATAAATGCATAGTAACCTCCCCCCCCCCCCCACCCCCCACCCCCAAACACACAAAATGGTGGGCTATGTCTAGGGAGACAAGATGAAACAATTTTTTTCTTGTTTATAAACATATTTCAGTGTATAACAAGTAAGATTTTTTTTTGTTATTATTTCTGTCATAGTATTATTAGCAGTATTACTCTTCTTTTAACACTACAGTAATTTTTCTGGATATTCATGATAGGTGGATAAATTTTTTAAAATAGATTATTTTTGACTTGTGTAATTGTTTATTTGTCATACAAAGAGCAGACCTAAATACAGAACAAGATTGGTGGATTTTTATGAAAATTTTTGCCAAAGATGGGCCATGCAGTTGGTTTCTATTTAGGAGAAGTACAAGGAATGGAGTCATAAAATTTAAGGGTGTTTGGTTATATAACTAGGCCTTTTAATGCATGAATGAGCATTTCAGTACTGATCCAAAGATCAAGAACAAAACCACAACAAACATGTATTTTATATGTATACTACATAAGGATCAAACATACCTCACGAAAGAAGATACCTCCATACAGGTGAAATGGAAAATATTAATTATATTGCAACCCTGACAGAAAAACTAACAGACTATGAATCTTTAACCTCGGTAAAAGTAATGAGCCTTTACAGTCTGTTATTAAAGGATTTTTTTTTCATGTCTCAAAATTTTTGAATATGACAAAGTTTACATGCTATTAAATCACCAGTTAAAAATTCTTTGCTAGAAAATAAATATCTTTAATGTTTCAGCAAGTTTGAATTTCTCATTACTCTAAAGTCGCATGCAAAGGGCGCACTCTTTTAATTAGGGATGCACGATTTTATCGGTATACCGATATATCGTGATTTTTTATTGCGTGATATGTATCGTGATACAGAGACTAAAATACCGGTATTTGGTACATAATTATTAATTCCGGAAATAACTTATTTATCATGCTTATTTGTTCAAACTATTAAATAGAAATTACAGAAAATATAAAAAATGTTCAACTTGAATAAAGTTAAACTATGGCATCCAGACATACTTTATATTATATAAATAAACATGGAAAAAAGTAAAGTTATATTTTTGCAGTGTATTTGTAAGAAAAATTATGGGAATTCATTTGAAAATGAAGTAAAAATTCCTTGTAAAAATATCCCCATTTTATCGCGATATTTCGGGGAAAAAATCGTGATATATCACGATATGAAATTTTTGGTGATACCCATCCCTACTTTTAATAGACGCACTTACCTCGAAGTTCGGGGGGGGGGGGGGGGGTCCTGGGAAAAAAGCAGGTCCCATGGATAAAACACACCCAGAGAAGGCAAATATGGATGTGACTTTTATTTTACAACCATACAAATGATGTAAAGAAAATAAAAGTTAAATTATTTTTGTCGTTCCAAAAATGAAAGTAGAACACAACCTTTAATTTTCTTGCAAATGAAGTTCATATA